TCTCTCTCTCTCTCTCTCTCTCTCTCTCTCTCTCTCTCTCTCTCTCTCTCACACACACACACACACACACACACACTAGGATACAGTATAAAAACACATAGACACACAACCTTCTTACTTTGTTACTCAGAAGAAATACAGAAAACAGACATGTCCTATGGCAACTGCCAGTAAAGGGGTTGGAAAGAATTCCAGAAGCCATTCTCTGAATATTTTTCCTACCTTGTTTTCTCATGGCAAAGAACAGGGACAGGAACAGATCTCTTAATCTGCTAAGTGGAATCTATAAGGAAACATTGAATGGGTTTCAAATATATATGGGGTGCCTTAAAGCAGCAGTCCTATGGAGTATGCTTCATCTCATGGCCTGGCCCATTTTGGTTTGGCTAGGAAAGCTGATCAAAAATTGTACAGCCTTGTTTCATTCAATCTTCACAAATGTAGATTATTACCTTTTTCATGGCAATATTCACAAAGGGAATAGATGGCTTTTTCATTGAAATAATACATCCTGATCAGACTGGATTTGTTCCAAAGAGATATATGAGAGACAACATTAAGACACACACTGAATGTTACCAATAAGATAAATCAAAACAACAAAAAAGTGAATGATCTTTCTTGATGCTGAAAAAGCCTCTGAGAGTTTAGAATGGACTTTTATGCCTGCAGTTTTGAAAAAGATGAGTTGTGGGCCTTTTTTTTTTTTTTAACATGGGTATAGGGTAGATATACAGAACGAAAAAACAAGATAATAGTAAATTGATCTCCATCACAACAATGCATCATGCTGAAGGGGGCAAGACAAAGATTGGCCCATCTCTCCTTATTTCTATTGGCATTAGAGCCATTCATGCTGAAAATGTCAGGAAAATAACATCCCAGGAATTGAATTAGCAACTCAAAAATACAAATTAAAAATGTGTATTTTTCCTGTTCCTGTACTGAGTTACCCAACTAAAATGGGTAGTTTGTTAATGAAATACATACAGTGATATGGGTTTGTTTCAGGTTAATGAATCAATAAAGATAAAACCCAAATGTTGACACAGAATTTAACAGAGAAAGAAAAGCAATACCTGCATCTCATAACAAGGTTGAACATAACAAAAAAAGGTCAAGTACTTAGAAAACTACCTGTCAAAAAAAGAATAAGGATTTGTTTAGAAATAATTATGATTTGATTTGTCATGGTTTGGAAGAATTGACGTTGTAAAAATGAATATTTTACCAAGACTTAACTTTCTTTTCCAGATGATTCCAATACATATTAAAAATAAGTTGTTACTGTAAGTGATTGGCATAGACAAGTAATGAATTACACACAGTCTAATAAAAGACCAAGGATTAAATTCAGATTTTATAGATTTGGAAGAGTGAGGAGATTTGGCAGCACTAAACTTTAAATGTTATTATTATGCCAGTTGCTTAATATGGATTGTAGAGTATTTATATTACTTTATGGCCAAGCTACCTCTTTTGAGGCCCTTACTTCATAATATTCCAGTTCACCTGACTCATTTCAGTATCTTCAGGTCAGTAGGATAAAATTAAAATAATTGCAGAAAGAAGGAGGAACACTTAGAGAGTTGATTGAATTTTAAAATTTCACAACATTTTACATCGAATATCTGCTGGGCCTTATTTATCAACTGTTGGTGAAGTATGACACAAAAGCCAAACAAATGGATGCAGAATTTAAATGCAGTAATAGATATGCAACAATGGGAATTTCAATGGAAGACAAATATTAAATTTACCCAGAATATTATACTTAGAGAACATTGGTATGTTTTATAGTTGGTATATTACTCCAGGCCTGATTGCTAAAATAGATCATTCATTCTTTAAAAATCATTGGGAATGTGAAGAGCAATGTTGTAAAGTTAAACAGTTTGGGAAAATGATTCGTACCAGAATGAAATACATCTTAAAACTTCAGTTCCCATTTCAACCTGTAATATTTTTATTAAAATTTACTAAACCATATATTCCTTCAAAGTATGCTAAATTAGCTTTGTACATCTTAACTGCTATAGAGATACTGCAGTGTATACCGTTTATTGGAAAGGACATTTCATTCCCTCTATGAAAAAATGACTAACCAGGTTGTGGGAGTACACTGCCGTGTTCAAGATAGCTTTGTATCTTAAAAGTAAAACTGACACAGAATTTAATTCAAATTTTAAACTATTTCTAGATTATAACTTAATACCACATCTAAAATTTGGATTTCTCTGTGAATGAGATCTATATTTCAATTTTATAGGATTTCGATATTAGAACAGACATTTAGTAATATATTTAGAATTTACTGTAGTTCTTAATTTTATTCTGTGGCAAATACTGTGCTAACCACGGTTCCTGATATTTATGCTTTGTTTAGAGCTTAATAGCAATTTTCAGGCTTTCAAAACTATATGATATATTCAGCTATTCACAATCAATTAATGATATCCTGGAAAATCATAACCTCTATGACATCTGTAAACCTCTTGTTTGTTCATATGCATTTTACTCTTTCATTCCTTTTCTTTGCCTATTTATATACTTTCTTGAAATATGTGTGTGTGTGTGTTTATGTGTAGATATGTATGTGTACCTATATATATAAAGGTATTGATCATTTTTACACATAATGTAAAGGAATAATAATCAAATGTGTTACCAGACTTTTAAACCCTTACCCTAACACTAAAGGATCAGTGTTACAATAATATCCTTGGACAGTAATTCCCAAAAGAATTTGTCTTTTTTATGTGATGCTGTTCTTAGTGTTGTTTTGGAAGTGTCATTTTAATATATATCAAACTCCACAATACACTCCACTAGGGTAAGTTGGTTGTATTTCCCTCCCCCTTTGTTTTCTTACCTTTGCCTTGGCAAGCTGATGAGTGGCTGTTTATGACACCTCTTACTTAGGCTAAAGAGCTTATGAACAATTTTCTGTGCCTTAAGGAATAGTTGTTTCATGCTGGATTCCAGTTGCTCATAGCGATGCTGGAAATTTGAATCCATTGTCCACAAGTGCATAATGGCAGATGTGTTGAGGAAATAGTTCATGGGCAGCCTTTTCATAAAGAACTTGAATTCATCTGCAAAATGGCAAAATTCAATATTCTTTTAAGTCATACTTCTGGGATCCTTTGTGTAGCCAAAAACAAATAAACAAACAAAACACCTCCCTTTTATGCCCATTTTTATCCCTTTAATTTGTCACTATCATGGATGTATATACAATACTGCTAATTTTGTCTGTATTAAGTTTTAATGCAGCATGAATTTTCCAGATGTACACATGTACACAAGCCAAATTTTCACTGTTGCATGTCTGATATACTGAAAATTAACTCATTGCAAGAATCCCTCAAGTTATTTTTAATTAAACTTGTAATCCTATGTATACTTATATTTGATAACATATAGCCAGTAAAATCAGGAAGTTTTGATGCATCACAGCAGTTAAGGAAAAAGTGGGTGGCAGTGGGAGTGGCATTTGGCCCATGCAAGATAGGTTCTCACTGTTCAAAGACTGTCAAAGTTACTGTACTCTAACAAAATGCACATGTGTTCTTGGAGTAATGTTACATTTGAGCAAGAAAGGAAGATTTTTACTTTTCAGTTAAAGCAGGGATAGAAATATTTCCTCAGATGAATGATGATTTCATGAAGTTCCTCCTTTCATGAACCCATCTAACATGAAGAATTTGAAGTAGTGCTTCCAATGTTTTGGTTAACTACCATAGTTATAAATATTTATCTGTATTTCAACAGATAAAGTGGAAGTTAGTTCGAGGCTGTGAACAGAAGTTTTATATTTCCTCTTTCTCTGAATACAGAGAAAGCACTTGTGATTGAGGCTTGCAATGCATAGTCTCATACTAGCAAACCACGAGGTTTTTGTTATGCCCAAACAGAGCCACGGCAGGATGTTTGCTCCATACTTCTTTCTGAATTCTTAAGTCTACAATCCTCTTTATAAAAATCCATGTTTAAATTATTTGAACAGCGGAAGACCATATGGAGCAGAGATGGCAGAATGAGCCACTCTAGGGAGCAAAAACTGTGTGTAATGCTGAATTTTACAAGAACAGAGATCAGGAGGAAGCAATTGTTAACAACCGTTTCTACGATATGCTGCTAAAGCATGAAAAATATCTGGGACATCACTCCAGCACATAATGTAACAGGATTTAAAGATCTGATCTGCACTAGACATAACTATAATTTAAGAAATATAATTTCCATTTGGACTAGAAGTATTGGAAATAGATGTTTTCTAATTAGAAGAATTTTCTTAATGCAGGTAAAATGGAGAAGGGCTCTCTTGCATTTAACAATTGATAGTAAACTCAGGTCTCTGTAAAATATACTTTACATTGCCGCAGCATATATAAGCATTTTAAAGGATTGTCTAGGCAGCAAGTTAAATGGTCTTTGTTTGTCAGTTCTGACAACATTCAGAGTCCTCCAGTGACATTTTTTCTGCCTTATTATCATAGCCAGTTGCTGCTTTCACAAACTGTGCATGAATATCTGATGAATAAACACTATCAGCAGGGGGAAGAAAAAAAAAAAGGAAAAATATTCTATTATAATTTTCATTTTTATCCCCAACCCTGTCAGTCAGAGCATCAAATTGCACTAAAAAACTTTATACATGAGGTGCAATGAAGTGTTGCACTCACGTTCCCATTCAGGACTCCTGCCAGCTACAAATGACCTTTCACAAGTTACATAATCATTTTCTCTTTCTCTGTTTTCCCTCTCCTTCTTTTCAGAGATCCATTAAGTTTCTTAAGGGAATGTTTCTTATGCAGCTCTTCAAGTTCTTAGGTTTCTGCAAATACCCATCTATATCTCTACTGTTTTTCAGTAATACCATTTGGTTTGAATTCTCTCTGCAATCACTTCCAGCATGCTGCTAGAGGAGAATAATACACAAACAATGTATTTTAAGTGTGGGGCTGAAGGGAAAAGTATAACTTAATTTATAAAGGCATATCTAAAAAAAGAACAACGTTATTGCCATCAACAAGATTTGTGCAGATTCAGCATTTTCCCTGGACGTTACTGATTTGAGAAACAGTCATTGGCCAGGATCCAGTGGTATACTTTGAGTATGTAAGGCCACACACACATCATAGTCACACATACTATACATAATTTCTGAAATCCCTCTTAAACCATATTCAGGCAATTTCTCTGCATGGATATAGGTGGGAAAGTGAATGGGATCCTCTGTATATCTTTGTGTGTTAAGGATAAAGGTTTGTTTGTTTGTTTCAAATGGAAACACTTATACATTATCCTACAAGGAGGAATCCTGACTAGGTTTATAGGTGTTTTTTGGGCCGGGGGGGCGGACGGGTGTGCCTTTGAATCAGTGTTGACTCCTGGTGACTGCCGGGACAAGTCCTTGCTGGCTTTGTGCCTAAGGCAGGACTAGAACTCATAGTTTCCCAGTTTCTAGCCTAATGCCTTAACTACTACACTAAACTGGCTGTTAGATTAGGCACTCCCTTGCAAATGTTATAGGTTCAGAGGTATGAATGGAGGTATTAAGGGTGAGGTTTATAGACACACCTTTGTCTTTCCTATTCTCAACGCGTGTGCAGCCTGGGCAGAGTTTTAGCATCAAATGGGATAGATCAAAGAGAGAGCAGCTGTTCAGGTCAATACAAAGGGCTTGGACTGTAAATAAATGTTGATTGATTTGATTGAGAGCAAATTTGGCTGATGAACTGAAACTATTAGATTGAAGCTTTAGGCAGGTTCCTGTGTATCAGTAGTGTGGATTCTTCACTCTGGAACTATAAAATTAAGTGTTGGTAGCCAGGCCATCAGATAACAGTGTTACCCTTCTGATAAGGGTAATCTGAGAATAAAAATCATTACTGCTAAGATCTTAAATGTTAAAGTTCTCAAGACAAATACAACACATATTCCAAACTTATTAAAATACAGGGCATGGCTACTATATGTGCACCACATCGTTGCAAAAGATCTCTCTATCTCAGAGTTTGTTAGTCACTTATGACCACATGTAAAGTCACAAAACATATATGAACGTGGATATTCAGTTTAACATCTGACCAAATTACCCATAACATGGTACTACAGATCATGGATTAGATTTTTACTACATAATCTTAAATGGGCCCATTATATCAGCAAGCCCTAGAGATGCCAATCACTCTGATCTAATTGCATATGAACAACAATACCAACTTAGCTTGTATGTGGAGATCTGAAAGGGATCAGTTTTACCATAGATTCAGAGAGTTGGAAGGTACTTTGGCGGTCTTCAAGTCCAACCCCATCCTGGGGTAGAAGCCTCAGATCATCCCAGACAAATGGCTGTGCAACCTTTGCTTGAAAACCTCCAGTGATGGAACACCTATGACTCCAGGAGGAGGTTGTTCCACTGCTTATACCTCTTACGATCAGAATATTGCTCCCTATTTTGAATTTGAATCTCATTCTGTAAAGCTTCTATCCATTGGTTCTTCTCTGCACTCTTTTTAGTTCCTCAGCATCCTTCTTATATTGTGGCAACTGAAACTGAATACAGTATTCCAGTTGCAGTCTGACCAGTGCAGCCAGAGCAGAACTATCACTTCTCAGGATCTTTACATTTCACTTCTATTTATACAGACAAAGATTGCATTGGCTCTTTCAATAACTACAGAAAACTGTTGGATCATGTTTGATCTGTGGACACCCAGATCCTTCTCACAAGGCCTAGTGCCACTATGTACCGGATTCCTACCTCATTATTAACCAATTATTGTTCCTACCATTATTAACCAGACATGGAAATGGCAGCTCCTACTTATGCAGATTATAATTCAATAACTGAAAAACTAAATAGAAGAACTTCTAGATTGAAAAGGTGAACATTTAATGAATTTTTACTATTACACAAGGATACTAAATTGTAGTGTTATCAGGACCTAAAGACCTTCTTGGAAATAAATTCTGGTACCTCTTTATTTATAGTATGGGGTGTTAGCAAAGCATTTATTAGATGTTTGTTTTTCTCTTTGCCATCAAATAGAAAGCCATGCGGAAACAGTAGAATATATTGCTAAATGTTCCAAAACAGTTAGAATGAAGGTATATATTTAATCTAATTTTGGATTTAGAACAAAAGATTAAAGATTAAATGGAATCAACTAGATTTATTAGAAGTAAGTTACACTTACAAAAAACAAAATTTTATTAAACAGAAATACTTTGAAAAAAGCAGTAAGTCAGACAAATTGTTGGCTCACCAACTAAGTATGGAATAAGACAACAGAGCTATTCTATATGGGATGGAACCAAGCATGTTTTTTACAATGAATGAGATGATGGAGTAATTTGTTAACTGTTTTTCTAAATTATATAGTAAACAGGCATTTGGTCTGGAAAAGATTGAAGAACATTTGAATAATACATAATTTACAAAATTTACGGACAACAAAAAGAAGTATTTAATCAACCCATGACCAGAGACAACACTAAAGAGGCAATAAAAACCCCTAAAATTGAATAAAGCTCCAGGATCAAATGGCAATTCTGCAATACACTATAAGACTTTCCAGGAAATTCTGGCTAAACCTTTACTTTGAATACTGAATGAGATTCCAGAATGCAAAGAATTTGCTTTGTCATGGAAAGAAGCCCTTATGTATTTGATTTATAAAGAAGGAAAAGATCCAACTTGCCCAAAGTCATATAGGCCCATTTCTTTACTGAATGGAGATTATACATTTCTCACGGCAATACTTGCAGAGAGAATAAAATCAGAATGATACATCCTGATCAGACTGGATTCATTCTGAAGAGATATATGAGAGAAAACATTACACATATTGAATATAATCAATAAGATAAATCAAAACAACAATAAAAGGACTATGATCTTTCTTGATGCCAAAAAAAGCCTTTGAGAATTTAGAATGGACTTTCATGCTTGCAGTTTTGAAAAAGATAAGCTCAATTTTTTTCACAAAGTATTTTTTCCACATGGATCCATTTATAAAGAACAAAAAGCTAAACAGTTCTCAATCATAACAGTACACTATACTGAAGGGGATAAGACAATGCT